ATGCGTCTTGGATTCGACCACTTTTAAAGAAGTATAGCTCTGGAGTACATTGGTCTGCTTCCTAAATTACCACCTTCTCTCAATAGGAAACAGTGTTTTAAAGGGAATGATTTATAGATAGCTTTTTGAGATATGGGAGCCTGATTTGAATGTGGTAATAACTTTTTTAGGATGCCAATCTTTAATTGTGTGTGATCCTCAAGTTCGTTTTCTCTCTTCCAACAAATTAACTCATGTTTTTGATCTTAAAGGGATAAATTATTTAACTAACGAAAAATTACAAAAAAAAATTTTTTTTTAACTTTTAATTTTTTAAAGGATTGGATATAATTGGAAATCCTTTTGGATTAATTCGTGATTTAACTGCTGGTGTTCAAGACTTTTTCTATCAACCTATACAAGGGGCCGTTACCGGGCCTTTAGAATTTGTTGAGGGAATGACTTTGGGTGTTAATAGTCTTTTTAGGTGAAAAATAGATTTTTAAAAATTTTTGAAATTTTCTCAAATTAAAGTCACTCTGTTGGAGGCGTTTTAGGCGCAGCTTCACGAATTACTGGAACTTTAGGTAAAGGAGTCGCTGCCCTAACTATGGATGAAGAATATCAACGTAAACGTTTACAAGCTAGACAACAACCTACAAATTTTGGTGAAGGAATGTTTAGAGGTGTTAGGGGTGTTGGACAGGGAGTAATTGATGGTGTTACTGGTAAGTTTTTGTGGGGGAGGAAAAATTTAAAAAAAATATAAAATTTTCTAGGAGTAATTTCTAAACCTGTTGAAGGGGCAAAGAAAGGAGGCGTTTCTGGTTTTTTAAAAGGAACGGGCAAAGGATTAATTGGTGTTGTTACAAGACCTGTTTCTGGAGTTGTAGATTTGGCTACATCAATGGCTGATTCTGTTAAGACGTAAAAAATATTTTTTTTTGTTAGAGAAGTATTTTTCCGGAAAATTGTTGTTGAGCGTATTCCTCATTAAATTATTTTATTATTTTTACGGTAATATATTGTTGATTTTTGGCAAAAAATTTTAAATTTTTTGGGTTTAAAACTGGTCGTGAACACCCCTAATTTTTATTAAAAATATTTTTATCTTTCTTCAGAGTTGTTACAAATGCAGAAGAAATTAGACCAATACGGCCCCCTCGAGTTATTACAAATGATAAAATTGTCCGTCCATTTGTTTATGCAGAAGCTATTGGATATAAAATATTTAAAGTAAAAAAAGAATATTTTTTAAAGAAATATTTTAATTTACAGGAAATTAACAAAGGTGATTTTGCCGAAACAGATTGTTATTTAGCTGATGGGTCAATTTCTAAACATTTGGTTATTGTTGTTACTGACAAGTGAGAAGAGATTTTTTAAATAATTTTTAACAAATATTTTCCGGAAATGTTTTAAGTATTATAGATTATTTTTCCGGAAACGTTGTAAGGTTATTTTCCGGAAAGAATTATACATTGTTTCGTTAAATATATTCCGGAAAATTTGCAAGGTATTTTCTATAAATTATTTTCCGGAAAAGAATTAGAGTAGTTATATGTTTTCCGGAAGTATTTTTGAGGAAATATTTATTTTTCCGGAAAAGTTTCAGAATTATTTTTTACTTTATTCCAAAAGTTTCAAGCATTAAAATACAAATTTTAGACGCGTGATCGAAGCACGACAACACGAGTTAACTGGTAATTGGAATGCTGATTGGAGCCCAACTTATTCTGAAATGAATAAACCTGAATGGTTTATTGATGAAACTAATGGTCTTAAATATGGTGTTTAAAATTTTAAAAATTTATTTAAAACAAAACAAAAAAATATTTAAAGGTGTCAAAATTTCATTAAAAGAAGCTAAACGTGGAACTTTCTCTTTATTGGGACGTCCAAAAACAAAGGGAAAATTAATTCTTTTCCAAACGGAAGAAATTGCAAAACGTGTATTTGATAGAATGTTGAGTGCTTGGGAAAATTCAGCATAAAAATACAGCAAAATTTATTTTTTTATATTTATATTAAATACATACATAGCTTTTGATTTTAATTTCTGAGTTATTTTTCCGGAAGACAATGTACATATTATTATTATTTTTCCGGAAAGTTATTTTCCGGAAGGTTTTAATAAAAATTTCCGGAAATATTTACCAATATATTCATGCATTATATTTTCCGGAAAAGTTATATAAATTATTTCCGGAAAGTTTTTATATCTTATTCCGGAAATATTTACCAATATATTCATACCTTATATTTTCCGGAAAAATTTCTCAATTTATTCCGGAATTGTATTGTCTTCTTCTCCCTTGCCTTCTTTACCCATATATACCTATGTAATTTTACCTATCTCTAATCATGACTTTCGCATCGAAACAAGTGCTTCTTTAACAAAAATATAATTTAAATGGAATTAATCTATTCACCTCACTTTTTTGTATCCCCGTAAATTCTTTCAATTTTAGATATTTTATTAAAGTAAATAAAAATAAAAGGATTTAAAAAGTTTAACCAAACTTAGACTCTTCTCTAACTCATTACTGGAACGGCCTCACACATTGATTTGAACTATTCCCTCATCGATTTCCGGAAATGCCCCCCCCCCTCATCCTTATCTATTCTCTTGGGCATTGGCAGATCTTGCCCATGTCTGAACTGAAAAAAGGTTCTGCTGTCTGTTCAAATGTATACACGCCCGTAGGGCGAGTCCTTTCGCTAGTTTTAAAAATATAAACATTCGAAAAATTATTTTTTATTTAGAAAAACCTCGAAAATCGAAATTTGATTTTGGTATGATAAATTATAAATAGGTAAATAAGATTTTTACCCTAAAAATCAATTAAAAATTTGAATAAAAAAGATGATAGGCACTCTCAAAAAATTTATTTATAATTTATTCTCAATTTAAATATAAAATTTTAAAAATTAAAAATTAAAAAAATAGGTTTAATTAAAATCTATTTTAAGCGTAATTTGTGTTTATTTATGGGGTTATTTGGGGATGGAGTTTCGATACCCGTTGGAGATATACATATTTTAATTTAACAATATGGACAAGTTGAGGGAAATTATTTTTAATTTGTAATTGTAAGGAAGGGTGAAAGCAGCGTCTCGGTAGCTCAGTTGGTAGAACACCTGTACGTGGTGAGCGAAAGCGCCTAGCAATAACTGCCAGGAGGTCGCAGGATCGAAGCCTGCCCGGAGCTTACTTAATAATGCCTATATTTTATTCGAAAAAAATTTTTTTCTTATTTTTAAATAGATGGCAACAAAAACAAAATTATTTAAAATATTAATATTTTTTGTTTTTATTATTAAAATTGTAAATTGTGGAATTTGTTTGTGTAAACCACGAGTTGATGAGGGTAACAATAATGATCAACATGGAAATGTTGTAATAGACAATCCAGGTAAATTAGATTTATAAACAAAGTATATAATATTTTTTTTATCTGTTGATGCTCAAAATGCTCAAGTTGATGAGGATGATGGAGGTCAGTAAATAAATTATTGGGGGATTAAAAAAACTTGTTTGGGTGATAATTGTTTTATTTTTAAGAACAACCTGAAAATATTCAAGTTGATGAGGATGATGAGGATGAAGTTGATGAGGATAATGAACATGAACAAGTAAAATTAATTACATGACGAACTCGAAGGGTTTAGGGTAGCCCTTTTGCCCTATTTACAGGGCATTTACCCTATTTTTGAGGCGGCCTGTTTTAGTGTTTTGGAAAGGGCCGCCCTGGAATTGTTCGAAGAAAAATTTTCTCATATAAAATGGGAAATTCTTTTTAGGGACCTAGGGAAGAGTTCTTTATTTTGAATGGTGTTAGTTAAATCGACTTGTATAGAGGTTCAACTACATATGATGGAACTGCTCTATATAATTACATAATTTTAACAAAACCAAAAAATTTTTTCCTTATTTTAATAATCAAGTAAAATTTGTTTTTACTGAAAGGGTTTAGTAAATGTTAAAATATTTCCGAATGGTTAATAGGTAATTTTATTTTTTAGGACAACATTGGAGTAAACATTCCAGCTGCGTGGGATTATGTCGTAAATGCGCAAACTTCTACTGATGATGAGGCAAGCTCATCTTTTTCATCTGACGATGCACATCCACCTCCAGTTGTTTAAAAATATTTTTTGTTTGGATTGTATTTGATTTTGAAAGAGTTTAAAAATTTTTGAAGGAAATCGGATTTTATTTTATAATTATTTTAAATTGAAAATTTTTCGCTTCTTTTGCTAAATTACTGTTTTTGTTTTTATTATTCAATTAAATTGTGTTTAAAAAAAGTTTAAAAAATATTAATGTTTACACAAAACAAGCTGAAAAGTTGTTTTAGGAAAAAGTTTATGGTAACTTAAAATAAAAATTTCCGGAAATATTTACCAATATACTCATGCATTATATTTTCCGGAAAAGTTATAATAAATTGTTTCCGGAAAGTTTATTTATTTTATTCCGGAAATAGTCAACAATATATTCATACCTTATATTTTCCGGAAAAATTTCTCCATTTATTCCGGAATTGTATTGTCTTCTTCTCCCTTGCCTTCTTTACCCATATATACCTATGTAATTTTACCTATCTCTAATCATGACTTTCGCATCGAAACAAGTGCTTCTTTAACAAAAATATATAATTTAAATAGAATTAATCTATTCACCTCACTTTTTTGTATCCCCGTAAATTCTTTCAATTTTAGATATTTTATTAAAGTAAATAAAAATAAAAGGATTTAAAAAGCTTCTAGTTAATCCTAAGATTTTTCTCTCAAAAATACACCAAAAAAACAAACAAAAAATATATTTTTCTCTTTAAAAAAATAAAAACGTCATATCATCAACTTTTATGGGGACATATTACAAAAATGGAAAATTATATATAAAATAAACATTTTTTTCTAAAAAAAATAATTTTTTTTTGTTTTCCTTTTCTTTGTTGCCACATTTGGCATTTACAATTTTTTAGTATATTTTTTCTTTTTTGTTTGGTTTCCCATCAGAAAAAGCCAGTTTCCTGAAGTTTTTGCACAAAGAAACGGAAATCTGCTGCCTCATTTGGAGTAAATCCCTTTAAAAGAGAATAAAAGAATATTTTATTTTTTTTCTATTTTTAGGATCTATGTATTTAATAATTAAAAAAGAATATTTTTTTAATTAAAAAAATTAATTTTCTCCCTTACAGAATTCTCATCACTAGAAGCAATAGCTTGTAGCACAGAAGCCATCCTTCCTAATTCTGTAGGGCTCATTTTCATTTCAACTCCGAATGCTTCTAATGTTGGAGATTCTAAAATTATTTTTAAAATTAATTTTTTGATTTTTAATTAGATAAATTGGATAAATTAAATTCAAAATTGTTAGATCACCCTATGAACTATAGGTAACATTTCTATCATTTCCGGAAAGTTTACAGAATACCTATATTAATAGTCTTTTTAGGTGAAAAATAGATTTTTAAAAATTTTTGAAATTTTCTCAAATTAAAGTCACTCTGTTGGAGGCGTTTTAGGCGCAGCTTCACGAATTACTGGAACTTTAGGTAAAGGAGTCGCTGCCCTAACTATGGATGAAGAATATCAACGTAAACGTTTACAAGCTAGACAACAACCTACAAATTTTGGTGAAGGAATGTTTAGAGGTGTTAGGGGTGTTGGACAGGGAGTAATTGATGGTGTTACTGGTAAGTTTTTGTGGGGGAGGAAAAATTTAAAAAAAATATAAAATTTTCTAGGAGTAATTTCTAAACCTGTTGAAGGGGCAAAGAAAGGAGGCGTTTCTGGTTTTTTAAAAGGAACGGGCAAAGGATTAATTGGTGTTGTTACAAGACCTGTTTCTGGAGTTGTAGATTTGGCTACATCAATGGCTGATTCTGTTAAGACGTAAAAAATATTTTTTTTTGTTAGAGAAGTATTTTTCCGGAAAATTGTTGTTGAGCGTATTCCTCATTAAATTATTTTATTATTTTTACGGTAATATATTGTTGATTTTTGGCAAAAAATTTTAAATTTTTTGGGTTTAAAACTGGTCGTGAACACCCCTAATTTTTATTAAAAATATTTTTATCTTTCTTCAGAGTTGTTACAAATGCAGAAGAAATTAGACCAATACGGCCCCCTCGAGTTATTACAAATGATAAAATTGTCCGTCCATTTGTTTATGCAGAAGCTATTGGATATAAAATATTTAAAGTAAAAAAAGAATATTTTTTAAAGAAATATTTTAATTTACAGGAAATTAACAAAGGTGATTTTGCCGAAACAGATTGTTATTTAGCTGATGGGTCAATTTCTAAACATTTGGTTATTGTTGTTACTGACAAGTGAGAAGAGATTTTTTAAATAATTTTTAACAAATATTTTCCGGAAATGTTTTAAGTATTATAGATTATTTTTCCGGAAACGTTGTAAGGTTATTTTCCGGAAAGAATTATACATTGTTTCGTTAAATATATTCCGGAAAATTTGCAAGGTATTTTCTATAAATTATTTTCCGGAAAAGAATTAGAGTAGTTATATGTTTTCCGGAAGTATTTTTGAGGAAATATTTATTTTTCCGGAAAAGTTTCAGAATTATTTTTTACTTTATTCCAAAAGTTTCAAGCATTAAAATACAAATTTTAGACGCGTGATCGAAGCACGACAACACGAGTTAACTGGTAATTGGAATGCTGATTGGAGCCCAACTTATTCTGAAATGAATAAACCTGAATGGTTTATTGATGAAACTAATGGTCTTAAATATGGTGTTTAAAATTTTAAAAATTTATTTAAAACAAAACAAAAAAATATTTAAAGGTGTCAAAATTTCATTAAAAGAAGCTAAACGTGGAACTTTCTCTTTATTGGGACGTCCAAAAACAAAGGGAAAATTAATTCTTTTCCAAACGGAAGAAATTGCAAAACGTGTATTTGATAGAATGTTGAGTGCTTGGGAAAATTCAGCATAAAAATACAGCAAAATTTATTTTTTTATATTTATATTAAATACATACATAGCTTTTGATTTTAATTTCTGAGTTATTTTTCCGGAAGACAATGTACATATTATTATTATTTTTCCGGAAAGTTATTTTCCGGAAGGTTTTAATAAAAATTTCCGGAAATATTTACCAATATATTCATGCATTATATTTTCCGGAAAAGTTATATAAATTATTTCCGGAAAGTTTTTATATCTTATTCCGGAAATATTTACCAATATATTCATACCTTATATTTTCCGGAAAAATTTCTCAATTTATTCCGGAATTGTATTGTCTTCTTCTCCCTTGCCTTCTTTACCCATATATACCTATGTAATTTTACCTATCTCTAATCATGACTTTCGCATCGAAACAAGTGCTTCTTTAACAAAAATATAATTTAAATGGAATTAATCTATTCACCTCACTTTTTTGTATCCCCGTAAATTCTTTCAATTTTAGATATTTTATTAAAGTAAATAAAAATAAAAGGATTTAAAAAGTTTAACCAAACTTAGACTCTTCTCTAACTCATTACTGGAACGGCCTCACACATTGATTTGAACTATTCCCTCATCGATTTCCGGAAATGCCCCCCCCCCTCATCCTTATCTATTCTCTTGGGCATTGGCAGATCTTGCCCATGTCTGAACTGAAAAAAGGTTCTGCTGTCTGTTCAAATGTATACACGCCCGTAGGGCGAGTCCTTTCGCTAGTTTTAAAAATATAAACATTCGAAAAATTATTTTTTATTTAGAAAAACCTCGAAAATCGAAATTTGATTTTGGTATGATAAATTATAAATAGGTAAATAAGATTTTTACCCTAAAAATCAATTAAAAATTTGAATAAAAAAGATGATAGGCACTCTCAAAAAATTTATTTATAATTTATTCTCAATTTAAATATAAAATTTTAAAAATTAAAAATTAAAAAAATAGGTTTAATTAAAATCTATTTTAAGCGTAATTTGTGTTTATTTATGGGGTTATTTGGGGATGGAGTTTCGATACCCGTTGGAGATATACATATTTTAATTTAACAATATGGACAAGTTGAGGGAAATTATTTTTAATTTGTAATTGTAAGGAAGGGTGAAAGCAGCGTCTCGGTAGCTCAGTTGGTAGAACACCTGTACGTGGTGAGCGAAAGCGCCTAGCAATAACTGCCAGGAGGTCGCAGGATCGAAGCCTGCCCGGAGCTTACTTAATAATGCCTATATTTTATTCGAAAAAAATTTTTTTCTTATTTTTAAATAGATGGCAACAAAAACAAAATTATTTAAAATATTAATATTTTTTGTTTTTATTATTAAAATTGTAAATTGTGGAATTTGTTTGTGTAAACCACGAGTTGATGAGGGTAACAATAATGATCAACATGGAAATGTTGTAATAGACAATCCAGGTAAATTAGATTTATAAACAAAGTATATAATATTTTTTTTATCTGTTGATGCTCAAAATGCTCAAGTTGATGAGGATGATGGAGGTCAGTAAATAAATTATTGGGGGATTAAAAAAACTTGTTTGGGTGATAATTGTTTTATTTTTAAGAACAACCTGAAAATATTCAAGTTGATGAGGATGATGAGGATGAAGTTGATGAGGATAATGAACATGAACAAGTAAAATTAATTACATGACGAACTCGAAGGGTTTAGGGTAGCCCTTTTGCCCTATTTACAGGGCATTTACCCTATTTTTGAGGCGGCCTGTTTTAGTGTTTTGGAAAGGGCCGCCCTGGAATTGTTCGAAGAAAAATTTTCTCATATAAAATGGGAAATTCTTTTTAGGGACCTAGGGAAGAGTTCTTTATTTTGAATGGTGTTAGTTAAATCGACTTGTATAGAGGTTCAACTACATATGATGGAACTGCTCTATATAATTACATAATTTTAACAAAACCAAAAAATTTTTTCCTTATTTTAATAATCAAGTAAAATTTGTTTTTACTGAAAGGGTTTAGTAAATGTTAAAATATTTCCGAATGGTTAATAGGTAATTTTATTTTTTAGGACAACATTGGAGTAAACATTCCAGCTGCGTGGGATTATGTCGTAAATGCGCAAACTTCTACTGATGATGAGGCAAGCTCATCTTTTTCATCTGACGATGCACATCCACCTCCAGTTGTTTAAAAATATTTTTTGTTTGGATTGTATTTGATTTTGAAAGAGTTTAAAAATTTTTGAAGGAAATCGGATTTTATTTTATAATTATTTTAAATTGAAAATTTTTCGCTTCTTTTGCTAAATTACTGTTTTTGTTTTTATTATTCAATTAAATTGTGTTTAAAAAAAGTTTAAAAAATATTAATGTTTACACAAAACAAGCTGAAAAGTTGTTTTAGGAAAAAGTTTATGGTAACTTAAAATAAAAATTTCCGGAAATATTTACCAATATACTCATGCATTATATTTTCCGGAAAAGTTATAATAAATTGTTTCCGGAAAGTTTATTTATTTTATTCCGGAAATAGTCAACAATATATTCATACCTTATATTTTCCGGAAAAATTTCTCCATTTATTCCGGAATTGTATTGTCTTCTTCTCCCTTGCCTTCTTTACCCATATATACCTATGTAATTTTACCTATCTCTAATCATGACTTTCGCATCGAAACAAGTGCTTCTTTAACAAAAATATATAATTTAAATAGAATTAATCTATTCACCTCACTTTTTTGTATCCCCGTAAATTCTTTCAATTTTAGATATTTTATTAAAGTAAATAAAAATAAAAGGATTTAAAAAGCTTCTAGTTAATCCTAAGATTTTTCTCTCAAAAATACACCAAAAAAACAAACAAAAAATATATTTTTCTCTTTAAAAAAATAAAAACGTCATATCATCAACTTTTATGGGGACATATTACAAAAATGGAAAATTATATATAAAATAAACATTTTTTTCTAAAAAAAATAATTTTTTTTTGTTTTCCTTTTCTTTGTTGCCACATTTGGCATTTACAATTTTTTAGTATATTTTTTCTTTTTTGTTTGGTTTCCCATCAGAAAAAGCCAGTTTCCTGAAGTTTTTGCACAAAGAAACGGAAATCTGCTGCCTCATTTGGAGTAAATCCCTTTAAAAGAGAATAAAAGAATATTTTATTTTTTTTCTATTTTTAGGATCTATGTATTTAATAATTAAAAAAGAATATTTTTTTAATTAAAAAAATTAATTTTCTCCCTTACAGAATTCTCATCACTAGAAGCAATAGCTTGTAGCACAGAAGCCATCCTTCCTAATTCTGTAGGGCTCATTTTCATTTCAACTCCGAATGCTTCTAATGTTGGAGATTCTAAAATTATTTTTAAAATTAATTTTTTGATTTTTAATTAGATAAATTGGATAAATTAAATTCAAAATTGTTAGATCACCCTATGAACTATAGGTAACATTTCTATCATTTCCGGAAAGTTTACAGAATACCTATACCCATTAATTTTTCCGGAAATGTTTAATAGTCTATGCATTCAGTAATTATTTTCCGGAAGACTTTATACTTAAACATTTTCCGGAAAGTTGTTATAGTTCAATTATTTTCCGGAATGTTTAATATTTAAATTGTTTTCCGGAAAGAATTATTTTCCGGAAGATTTTATATTTAAACAGGTATTTTCCGTAAGTTTTTATAGTTAAATGATTTTCCGGAATGTCTAATATTTATTTTCCGGAAAGCTTTAATAAATAATTTTCCGGTTATGTACTCTTTTTCTCTCCTGCTCTCTTCTATATTACCCTTATAGAAACCACGTCTAATTAAAAAATAATTTATTTACGTGAAAGTGCAACAGCAACTTTATCCACTCCCCCCATCCCCGCCAAACTATTCCTCGCTTCTTCCCCAAAAAGTTTTTCCAAAAAATCTTTTCCATGTGCTTGAAGGAGTGCTTTAAGGAAAGCTACAGTTTCTTCTACTGGCGGGCGAATTGCTAAAAATAATTTATTTTTTAAATTTCTTTTTTCTCCCCTACCAGCTGTGCACATTGCAGAATTTTCGTCATATTCATCTGAACAATCTGGGCTTCCATCACACAAATATCTTTAAAAATGATTCCATTAGTAGACCCTTCTATTTAATGGACTTTTCACAAAGACCTCTATCTTATCAACACCCCCATTACCGGGCGTCCACAAGAAAGAGGTCTAAAAATTTAAGAAACTTACTTGATTGGAATACACTCGCTGTTAGGACATTGGAAGGGGTGCCAAGTCGGACACTGAACTAATTCTTCCCCTCCCCCACTTGCTGTCCTCTTCCCGCCCCTCGCCACAAGAACATCTCGAATACTAAAAGCTGAATTTTTGTCAGTAAATAATATCAATAATAATAAGGTTATTAATAAAAGAAATAAATTTTTTGGAATTTTAGGAAATTTGGAAGAAAATAATTTTAATTGTGTTGATAAGGATGAATTGACGTTGCTTGTGGACTGCTTCATTATTTTGTGTTTTTGAAGTTTTCTTCCTTTAAAAATAAAATAAACTTGTTTATGGTTAACCGGAAAGAATATAATTATAGTTAGAGTGTATAGCAATATAAAAAGGTTTTCCGGAAAGGTTATATTGCTTTTCCGGAAAAACAAAACAATGAAAAGACACATATAAAATAAAAACACATTTTTCCGGAAAAACACATATAAAATAAAAACACATTTTTCCGGAAAAACACATATAAAATAAAAACACATTTTCCGGAAAGTTTTCTAACAAAACACATTTTTTCCGGAAAAATACATAAAAATAAAAATACATTTTTCTAAAAGTTTGTCTCAATATTTTAAATTTTTAAAAATAAAAATAACCAAAACAACGTCAAAAGTCTAATGAGTTGTATAAAAAGAGGCGGATTTTTAAAAAAGTCAAAAGAAGTGACGAAACTGTCTGCAGAATAAAATTTAAAAGAAAAGTTATTTATCCTCATAAAAATAAAAAAAAACAAAAATACACTTTCCGGAAAAATACATTCCGGAATAATAAAGTTTGAAAAATAAAATACTTGCCTTTAAACAAAATACATAAAAATACAGTGATAAATTATAGCTCTAATTCCGGAAAGAATATTCCGGAAGAATTATAATTTAATAAAACACATTTTTCCGGAAAAAGTTTAGTTTCCGGAATAATTATAATTTTTAAAGTATTTTATCAACAAAAATACAAAAACACAAAAATAACACATTATTTAGAGTTTCTAGAGTAAAGGCTTTATTATTAGTGAAGGAGCCGCATTGATGTATTTTTATTATTTCTTTGAAAAAAGAAAACAATTAAAAAAGGAGAGAAAAGTTAAAGTTTTTTTTCATGGCATTTAATTTTAACACATCCTCTCCTTGTAATTTATATATATTAAAATGCCAATTGAGAGAGTTTGGCTTCTTTAAACGTGCATTTCACGAACAATAAATATATCGAGAAAATTAGAAAAAAGGGTGGGAAGAAGCAATTTATAGCAAAAGGAAGGGAGGATTAGTTAATGCCCTTAAAAAGAAGAAAAAAAAATTATTTTTTACCAATTGATGCATATAAAAACCCTTTTAATAAACATCAAGTGCCAAATAAATTTTTTTTGCTGCTTGTAAAAGCAATCGGTTGGAAAAATAAGATGAAAAATGAGGTGTTGAAAATGATTAAAAAGGAAAGGATATAAAATTGATGAAAAATTAAAAGGAGAAATGTGGGTGGAGAACAATGAGAGGGACAAAAAGGGAGGGAATCCAATAATCAAAAATTAAAAATACAATGAATACATTTCCGGAAATAAAAGTTTATTAATTATAGTTATTACATATATAGCTATACATATTTCCGGAAAAATACAAGAAAATACAATTTTCCGGAAGAATAAAACAGTTATAAAATAGGTATAAATTTAGCATGTGTTTTCTGGAAAAATTATAAAATACATTTCCGGAAAAATTTATTTTTATTAATTTATACAGTACGGTGCATATGTTTACGGACAAAGGCGTTAAAAAAATAAACCTAATTTATTCGAAAAATTGAATTGCTTATCGAAATGTATAAAGTAATTTTTATACCATTCTTTATGCTTTATCTATAGATACAAGTATCGGCTGAAACATATTCGTTTATTTCCAAAAAATTACCCAAATAAATTTATAACCTTAATTTTTGTGGTGCAAATGTTTACGGACAAATCAAATAAACCTAAATAATTTCAGAATAGTATGCCAAAAAAATTTATCGCTACTCCGTAGACATTTTCATAGATATTGAGTAGAAAATAAAAAAGAACGGAGTCTGTAACTTTTTTCTTCGTTGAGATCTCGAATCTCAAAAATCAACGGAAATTTGGGGTACAGTAATTAAAAAAATATTTTTACCCCCTAGAGCTTAAATTAAAAATTTTCTTTTGGGTCCATTAAAAAGCCCATAAAATTTGCTACAAAATAATCCAAGTTTTTATTTTTCCAATAAAAACTCATGGAGCTGAAGGAAGCGAAATTTTTTATGTTATCATTTTTGGGGTATTTTATGTGATTTTTGACCATTTTTATGAGAAAGTCGATGTGCGTCGAACAACTATTTTTTAGAATAAATGAGACCATGACTATTTTGTAGTAAATTTTATGGGCTTTAAGATAGGCCTAAAAGAAAATTTTTAATTTAAGCTCTAGGGGGTTAAAATATTTTTTGAAGTACTGTACCCCCATTTCCCGTTGATTTTTAAGATTCGAGATTTCGATGATTAAGTAAGTTAAAGACTTCGTTCTTTTTGCTTTTCTACTCTGTATCGGTGGAAATGGCTGCAGAAATTTTTGTAGAATTTTTGCACCAACTAAAGTAGGAATATTCGAAGTTATTTAATTTGTCCGTAAACATATGCACCACAAAAATTTAAGTTATAAAATTAATTTGAGTAATTTTTTGTAAATCATAAATGAATTTGATCCAATTGATGTTTCATTAGATAGTGCATAAGAAATACTATCTAAATTATATAATCGGGTTTCATTATAAATTCATTTTTTTCAAATTTAGATTAAATGTTTTCAATGCCTTTGTCCGTAAACATATGCACCGTACTGTATTATATTACAATTAATGTATTAAAAAGAATAAAATATAGAAAAAGAAAAACTAGATTGAAAATTAAATGTGTGTGAAAATTACTTTTTAACGAAATTTGAAGTGATAAAAGTTTAGAAAAATGAAAAAATGACGCATACTTTTAATTTGTTTATAAACTTTTAATTAAAAAAACTTGTCACGAAATTTTTAAAAGATACAATTTATAAGTTGTTGACTGCTTTTTATTAAATAATTTTATTTTTTAATGCAAAATTATTTAAGCTAGAATATTTATAAAATACAATAAAATCTCTTTTAAACACAAAACAAAGTTTTCTATGTAAAAAAATATAAAGTATAACTTGGGTGAATAAAATAACAACTTTCCGGAAAATACAAAAAATACAATGTGTTTTAGAAGATAAACTGCAAATAATAAAAAATAAACTTTCCGGAAAGAATATAATAACATTTTCCGGAAAAGTCATAAGAAATATACATATTAAATTAAAATCAGGTGAACAGTACATAAAATAAACCAAAGAGCAACGAACCAATTTTAATTTGCAAAATTTTTCTTTTCAATTTTTAATTATTCTATTTAATTTTAGAATTTTTCCATTAAAAATTAATATTAATTAGAATAATAAAAAAATAAAAAAAATGACGAGAAACACAAAAGAATGTATACAAATATTTAATGAATACTTTAAACAAAAAACTGGCATTTTTAAAAAGTATTAAAGGTAAATTAAAATAAGGTAAAATAACTAGTTTAAATAAATGAAGAAAAAAAAAGACAAAAAATAAAGAAGAAAAATTTTTTTAAAAGAAAAAAACGTCAAGCTTTAATTTTTAATGAGGGTATAAACGTCTATTTACTTTAAAAGACTTCCTTGTTTAAATATTTTGATATGAAAAAAAAGTTGGGAAATAGCTCAACAATTTTAAAACAAAAAAGAACTAATAAATAAATAATTAGAGTAGAACATGTCTTTAAAATGCAGGTCAAAATTTAAAAGGGGGGTATTTAAGTAGTTGAGTTGACTTGAATATAATTAATTAGATAATTTCTGTATTTGTTGGTGTTTTCCGGAAAGTGTATAACTCATAAATATTTTTTCCGGATAAGGTATAATTAATATGTACATATAATGTTTTCCGGAAAACACATAATTAATATATATTTTCCGGAAAATACATAACTAATAAATATGGCTTCCGGAAAAGTTATAATTAATATAATAAATTTTCCGGAAAGTATATAACTAATAAAATAAATTTTCCGGAAAATGTATAACTCATAAAATAAGCTTTCCGGAAAAGATATAATTAATATAATGTCTTCTGGAAAATACACAACCAATAAAATAAATTTTCCGGACAAAAAAAAAAGAACTAATAAATTGAATAATTAAAAATTGAAAAAAAATTTTTGCAGATTAAATTGCTTCGTTGCTCTCTTCGGTTTATTTTATGTACTGTTCACTTAATTTATTTTAAGTTAATATTTCTTATGAGTAGTAGATGGATGGCCATTCGTTTTACTTAAAAATATAGTAAAAATTGTATTCCGGAAATAATTTATTTTCAATTTTTAAATTTGTATTTTCCGGAAATTCGTCTATTTTTGTGTTTTTATGGAAATATAGATAAAAACACCTAAATTGTGACTACAGACTTAATAGACAATTAAAAAAATTTTTAACAAATTTTTATTAATTATTAATTTAATTTAAAAAATACACGTAAAAGTTGAAAAACTTAAAATTAAAAATTAATCGAAAAAAAAATTAAATTTTTCAATTTTTAATAAGTGCACAGCACGGAAATTAAAAACAAAAATTTTTTATAAAAATAAAAACAAAAAAAAATCAAGCAAAAATATTAACTTAACTAAAATATGCAAATTCATAAAATTTTCAATAAATTTTAAAGTAAGTTGAAAGTCCAAAAAATGTGTAGGCGAAACAAAAACTCATCAAAAAAAGTTGAAAAGCTACTTAAACTTGGAAAAGTAAATTTATTTATTAAAATATGGCGAAAAATAATTTTTAGTTGAATGAATTTTTAAGAGAAAAAAATTATTTTTTAAAGTTTTTTAAATGTACTTTAATGGATAGGGGAAGGAAATAAATGTTGAGGAGAGAAGAAAACAATTTTTAAAAATGACAGCATTCTTTAGCCAAAACATAATTTTTTTTATTAGTGTTCAAAAAATAGTTAAAAATTGGACAGAAAATTATTAAAAAAATTTTTTTTTTCGAAAAATTTTTTCAAATTTTAAGGTGAAAATATGTAAAGGTACATTAGGCAGGGAAAAATACATAAAATCAGAATTATAATTAACCTGTGTATTTTGTTAGTATTTTCCGGAAAATGTATAACTAATAAAAATGTTTCCGGAAAAAGTATACCCAATAATATTTTCGGGAAAACATAATTAATAAAAATATAGTTTCCGGAAAATGTATAACTATGAAAAAGTTTTCCGGAATTATATAATCAGGGTTACAAAATCAGAATTTTTAAAGTAAAACACAAAATCAGAATTATTAAAATAAAATACAAAATCAGAATTTTTAGAATAAAATACAAAACCAGAATTGTATTTATTTTCTAATTTTGGGAGCAGTTTTGGTACAGTTTAAAATACAAAATCAGAATTATAATAAAATACAAATCAGAATTAAATAAAATACAAGTAAAATACAAAACCAGAATTTATACATATAAAAATACAAATTCTGGCTTGTCTGCAATTCCTTCTAAAAATAAATTTATTTAAATAACACCTGTCTTTTGTAGTTTCTAAATTTAACAAAATTAAATTCTTTTATTTAATATAAATTTAAATTTAAAAAATAAAAAGAGAATTTAAATATCCATAAAATTGCCTATTTTTTAAAAATTTATTTTAGGCATATTTTTGTGGGTGTTAAGCGATTATGAACCGAAAAGTGTGTTAAAAATTATTTTTAACGGTTGATTGAATTATAGGGGAATATTTTTAAGTTTTTTTTATTAAATAAAAAATATTCAAAAATTGAAGTAAAATAATAAAATATTTTATTTTTATTTTCCAGTCCATTGAATATTTATAGATATTTTTTAAAACAAAATTTTATTTTATTTTTAATTGTAAAAACTATTATTAAAATATTATGATGTTAAATAAATTTCTAGAAAATTTTTCTGGAAAATAAGAACAAATTTAAAATTTTTTTTTCTGTCAAAAAATTAATTTCTTCTTTCCAGCAGAAATTTTAATTAATATAGTAAAATCAGAATTATATTTTTTAAATAAAATCAGAATAAAATCAGAACATGTATTTTGCTTTAAATAAACTTTCCGGAAACTTTTGTATTTTTATTAAATTGTATGTATTTTTCAGGAAACAATTTAATTAAAAATACATGTGTTTTTTAACTAAAAATCAGAAATACAAATACAAATTCAATTTACGCAAATCAGAATTTATGTATTTTTCTATTAACATTTTTACAAAACAATCAAGTAATTTAAATTAATTTTAAAATAAAAGTGAAAATAAAAAAATAAAATTATAATTAATATTTTAATAGAAATATTTTTAAAATAATTAATATTTTCATTGACTTATAAAAAATTTTTTTTAAATTTTTAAAGAAAAAAATTCTCTCGGAAAAATAAATAATTTTTTTAATTCCAAAAAATTTTTAAAACAATTATATACCTAATCATATTTTCACCCGACCTTTTACAAAAATAAAAATTAAAAAAAAAATAATTTTTTTTCCACACATTTCCTCAATTTTTTTTATTTAATTTTTAATTCATTTATTATCTTCCCCTAACATCTTCTCCCCCTCCAACCTTAACATTTGGATTAGCATGTGGATCATCAAAACCAGGCAAATTATTTAAATTTCCTTCTCCTCCTTCTTTATTACTTCCTCCATCAGACAAAAATATTAAAAGAAGAAAATAACCAAAAACCAAAATAAATAAAAATAATAAAATTCGTTTAACTGAACGTGGAAGACGAGTATAACGATAACTACAAAAAAAATTAAGAAAAAAATTTTTTTGAAAGATTAAAAAAAATTTGAGATTATGGTGACATTTGGTCCCAATTTTCTTACAAAATCAATTAGGAAAATTTCTTCAGAAAAATTAAAATTGATTATTTTTGGTGACAACCAGTTCCAGCAAGGAGGAAAAGATTAAGAAGAAAAAAGGAAAAAAATTGTTTAAAGGAAAAAACTAAAAAGAGGTGACATTTGGTCCCAATTTTCTTATAAATCAACAGAGCAGTCTAAAATTTTAAAATTTTTCAAAATTTGCTTGTTCAAAGATTTACAGATTTTCTAGCTTTTTTAACTTTTCTGGTCGGTTTTGGACTATTCCACCCATTTTCTAATTTAAAAAACTAAAATTAATTAAACTAACCGAATTCCATGCTCCGAAGCAGCCCTTTTTGCATATTTAGAATCGTCTTCATTTCCAATATAAATACTTGATGATCCACCAGTATTGGAGTTATTAGTAGATTCGGGCAGTAATTTAGAACGAGCTTAAAAAATAAATTTAAAAAAAAATTTTTAAATTTTGCGGATAAAATTTGCGGACGGATCTTGCGGACAATTCTGAGAAAAAATAAGATCTACTTCTAAAAAATTAATTTTTTGATGATATTTGGTACCAAAATTTCGATTAATTAATCAGTCTCTTTCATTTTTAGAAAATAAAAAAATTAGTATTTGTCCGCAAGTTTAAATCCGCAAATTTTTTTTTCTTAATTTTAAAAATAAAAAAACCAGTAAAAACATTATTGCTAATTTGCATTTCATTTAAATAATCATTATTATTTCCACCATTTGGACTATTATTTTCATTGTGAATAACAGAAGGAACTATTAAATTTTGATTTGGAGGTGTTGGAATATTTTTGTTTTTTTGTTCAAGTTCGGGCAACTGAAAAATTTTTGGGAAAATTAAAAATATCTTTAAAAAAAACAAACAAAAGACATTCCCAATCCATTCCTTCCCCAATTTACTGTTTGTAATTTATTTATGAGTCGGTCCACAATTGGAGATTGTTGGTTTTCACGAGGGAAAATACACTCCTTAAAAAATAAATTTCAAAAAAGCATTTAATTTTAATCAAAGAATCTTTGATTTATTCAAATATTAAAGAACTTCTATTAAATAAAATCAAGTCAAAATTTCTTAAAATTTCTAAATCTCAAGGGACCCGTTTGGACAAAAGGACGGGTTCTGCTGTACCCAGAATCTCAGACAGGTCAGTAAGCAAAGCCAATAGTCCAGGAACGGACCCATACTCAATTATGATTTATTTAAATATTAGGGACTTCACTTGTTCCAATAAATAAAAGCAAATCAAAATTTCTAAAGCTCAAGGGATCAAAAGGGGCGGGCTCTGCTGTATCAGCCAGAATCCGGGACATGTCAGGAAACGAAGCTAATAGTCCAGGAACAGGCCCAGAACTATTTAAAACCCTCCAACTCTACCCCTTATCAGGAAAAAAAGAAAATAAAGTCGAATCGAATCCCCGGTCAAAAAAGGGTGACAGGGTTTCGAGTAACACATCCCCAATCCCTCTCCTAACGAGATCTGGTCATGGATACGGATACAGATAATACCAAAATGCCTGCAGATATCCGTCTGTATTCGCCGTAAATATCCGGATACGGATACCAAAATCAGTATCCGTGACCAGGTCTGCTCCTATCACTCCAATAAAACAAACAAAAAAAACGAACCAAACAACTCGGACATTTATATCCAGCTGGCGCTGTTGTGTCAGGCAATTGCCTTACACGAGCATCCAAACAATCCCAATGAAAAAGATGTAAACATTTAAGTCTCAAAGTTTCTCGAATTGTTAAAGGCTCTGAAAATTGAAAATAAGTTGAGTCAATTTAAATTTAAAATGAACCAAAACACAAAGGACAATTAACATCATAATCGCTGTCTGTCAACCAAGAAAGGTAGGTTTGAACAACGCACTGGAAAAGAGAAAAATTAATAGGGGAATTTTGGAAAAATTAAAGACTTCCTTTCAAAGAATGCTTTGGACTTAAAGGAAAGAGGGAAAATTGAAAGAACCAGAATCCGAGACAGGTCAAGAAAACAAGACAAAAGGCTCAGAATTAATCAAAAAATTTTGGAAAATTTTCAGGCCCGTAGCCAAGGGGCCTTCAAAGAGTGCTTAGACTTCAAGGAAAAAGGGGGGAAAATTGAGAGAGGCCAGAAACCGAGAAAAGTCAAAAATACAACCCAAAGAGAGGGAGGAGAGTCATAAAGCTTCCTTTCCCTATGGTCTACTTCCTGGAGGAAAATGGCACTTCACAAAATTATGGGAATCAAGGGGAAACAATATTAAATAGGGGAGAGTCAGAAAACTCCGAATTAATCGAAAAATTAAATTTAGAAATAAACTTACAGCTTCATGGTTCGACAATAGACAAGCTTCGCAAACATTTACTCGATGCTCAAAACAAAATAAATTGGTCACCTTACGTTTAGGACATTTACAAAGACCCATTGAATAAGTCAAATTTATAACTATTAAATCTTTAAAAAATTAAATTAGAATCGAAAAAACAAAAAAAATTTGACACGTAATTTCCTACATTTTCAACAACAAAAACAGAAAGAGAAAAATTAAACTTTTATTTTTCACTGTCTGTCAATAAGAAAAGATAAGGGTTAGAGAAAAAGACAAAAGGACAAAATGTCATTTATTTATTTAATAAACATTATGCCAAGAGAAAATAAATTAAAGGGGAGAATTTAAATAATTTAAATGGAGAAGGACGAGGGAATGTCTTCTTTCAGCAAATGTTTGTTCTTATTTTACGTAACTGATATTTTGATAAGAGCAATGATAACGAGACTATTAAGAAAAAAAACTATCAAAACAACAAAGACATTTATTTAAATAAATTAAATTTTTAAAATAATACGACAAAGGAGAAAGATTTTTCAAAAAATATTTAAGGGGTAAAATAAACAGGGGAAAAATATTTAAGGGAAAAAAAGAAAACACTTAAAAATAAACGTGTCGGGCTAACTCGCGGAACGGACAATTCACGGAACGACAAGTCGCGGAACGACAATTCTCGGAACGGACAATTCACAGTCCGACAATTCACGGAATTACCAAATCACGGAACGACCGATTCACAGAATGGCCAAATAATGTCTGTTCCGTGAGTTGGAATTCCTCGAGTTAGCCCTCACCCAAAATAAATATATTTTATCATTTTCTAAACAATTTTCTAATTTTCTTTTCATCTCTTCATTTCTCCTACTTAACGCATCCTTTTCCCATTACAACAAACAATAAATAAAAGTATCAAAACAATCATAAACATCAGAACAACACCAAAAGCAGCACAAAAAGCAGCCCAACGAGGCACCAAAATATTATCAGACACAACTTTAATATCCTCACTTTTGACCTTTTCGTCAATCAAAATAATTAACGTTCGCTTCTCAAAATTTGTAAGACTATTCCAACCACAAGGATTTGATTGATCCAAATTTTTGAATAAATCGTCGGTTGTGTTGATAGACAGAAGAGACTGAAAATATTGAAATTTTGAAATTTTTGGAGTTGAATTTTACTTGGTTGAAAGTCCCCGTTTCATTGTTGTAGTTGTCCGTAGTTTCCAATAATGAGGCAGTCGATCCGGTAGTGTTGACAAACGATTGAACCTAGTAAAATGGTGAACTCAAGCCTCGAAGGCTAGGGAGTGTTTATGAAACGGATCAGGGCGAACATTTCCAAACCACTAAAATAGGGAGGGAACACTCAAAAACAGGGCCCTATAAATAGGGTAAAATAGTCATCCTGGAACGGATACCAAAAATGGCGGATAAAGGGTAATCTGAACTAAAAGGTTAGACTAACTTTGAGACCTTAGAAAAAGTAAATTCTCCTATACAGACAAAAAATTTTCTAGACCCGTGGTTTGGCACTAAAAAAGGCCCGAAAACCCCCCAATAGATTGACTTTTAGATTATTAGTCTAGATCAAGAGCCTATCACAAAAATGTTATAATTTTCTTCGAGACGATCCAGAAAGGTTAAATCCCCCTTCCCTTTCACCCCTTTTTTAAACTCACCCCATCCAAATCCTTGCTAGAAGTCTTGTAGAACTCTTTAGTGCTGCTATTTGTATTGTTTTGATAATCCCCTCCAATCACCAAACCAGCAGTTGATGAACACTTGGGCACCAACCAAAAAAAGATAAAAATAATAGCGATGACGGAAATAATAAATTTGTTTCGCAAAAACATTCTAAAATTTGTGTTTTGTTTAAATTAAGTTACAATGAAGTGAAGAGAATTGAACGGCTTTTATAGTAAAAAATTTTCCGGAAAGGAAGTGACGTTAGAGTATTAAGTAATAGAGACGTCCAAGACGGTTTTTGAGTTTTTTGAGACTAACAAGGGGAACTTATCGAACTGTCACCAAAAATTTTATAATTATTTTTGCACCATCGTGTAGAGCATAGTCGATAACATATTGCCAATTTTTGGCTTTTTCGGCTCCGACCCCAAAATCGAAAGGTTATAGGGCTTCAAAGTCTTCAACTTTTGGAGCGGTCTCCTTTCCTATTAAATAGAAATTTTTCTCTTACTAAAGAAAATAATGAGACGGTCCTCCTTTTTTCCTTTTTTCCTAGACTTTCTTGGGTCTTTTCGTGTTTCGTTTAGGAAAGAAAAAGGATTTTGGGATCTGGTCTGGAGACTTGAAAATTTTCGTTTATGGTCATCTCTATATTCAACTCTCAAGCAAAAAAATATGTATTTTTAATAAATTTAAAAAAAATTAAAAAAAAAGTGTGACGGTCAAGGGATCGCGGATGGATAGAGTAAAAGTAAGTCCTTTTTGAATTCGGTTTAAATTTTTGATAACCCATCCACTCCGGACCTATCACACTATAAAATAACAAAACTTTTCTTTATATTAAAACCTAAATTAATTTGAAAGAAAAATGTCGAGATTCTCCAATGGTTATAGAACAAAACAAACCTGTTTGTTATTTAATTTAATTTTATCACTTTTAAATTTCTATTTTCCCTTTACTTTTATAGTAGAAATATTTAAAGTTCAAATTACTCCTTCTTAAACAATTGAAAAATAATTCCGGAAAGAAAAAAGAAATACAAAGAATTTTCCGGAAAGAATATAACTGGAAAAAACACATTATTTAGATTTCCGGAAAATTTATTTAAGAATAAATATATTAGATTTTTCCGGAAAGAATATAATGGGAAAATACTTTATTTAGATTTCCGGATTGAAAAATACATAATTCCGGAAAGAAATACAAAGAAAATACAAAGAATTTTCCGGAAAGGATATAACCGGAAAAAACACATTATTTAGATTTCCGGAAAAGAATAAATATATTAATATTTTCCGGAAAGAATATAATTAAAAACTAAATGTTTATCATTTTCCGGAAAGTTTATTATATTTAAAAAATACAAATTTACCGGAAAATACAATTTATTAGAAGAAATACAAATTTAAATAATTCTTTATATTTTTCTTTCTCTTAATTAATTTTAAAAAATATCATAGAGGCCTAGATCAATAAGATGCAGACAACGAGGGTCACGCCAACCTGGTTTACAACTAAAATAAATTTTAAAAAATTTATTTTTAATTTTAAACCAAACCGGCAAGATGCCCTATAATTTCCATTACCAACATGAGCAGCAAAACACGTCCCTCCATGATAACAATATTTTTCTAAATAAGGCGGACACTCACGTGTAGGGGGTATTTCTGGTTTTTCTTCGTAATATTCCTTTTCTGTTGATTTTTTAATTTTATTTTTATTTAAAGGAGGAGGTAAAGCTTTAATTTTGATTAAATAAAAAATTAAGAGAGAAAATAAAAAATATTTTTTAAACATTTTTTGAATTAAATAAATAAAAAAATAAATTTTTGGTTTTGTAGAAATTTAATTTTAATTTTTAAAAATATTCTAATGGTGTTTTTATTCAATTTTAAAATTGAATTAAAATAAAATAAACCTGAATTAGAAAACACATAACGCCTTTTTGTATTTTTATAAGAAAATACTTAAATGTTTATTTTCCAGAAGGCATAACATGAAAATACATTTAAAATTCTTTTCCGGAAATATGTGTTTTCCGAAAATACTAAATATAATTTTCCGGAAACAGTAATATATATCAATGTTTTCCGGAAATTATATAATTATGTCTTCCGGAATAGACGATAATTATATTTTCCGGAAGGAAAATACACGGTAGAATATTAATTATATTCAGCTGTAATTATATCCGGAAATACACAATACTTTTATTTTTTAAATAATTTTCCGGAAACATTAAAATTATTATTTTTCTTGAAGGTACATACTTGTTATAATTTCCGGAAGCTTTTTTCTCTTATTTCATGTCCAATCTTAAGTAAGTAATTAAATTATAAATTATATTTATTCCGTAAAATTAATTTCCTTTCCCTCAAATTTATTTTAATAAGGCTTATTTTATTACATTAAAATTAAATTTTTTTAAATTTAAAAATAAAATTCAAAAAACATTAAAAATCAAAAAAAGATTTTTTAGAATATTCCAAAATTAAAATTTATTTAATATAAAATCAGAAATTTATTTTTTATTTATTTTAATTTAAAAAATGATTAAAAAATATATTTTATTTTTAATTTCAATTTTTTATTTAATTAAAATTAAAGCTTTACCTCATCCGTTGCCTCCTCCTATACCTCCTCCAACACCTCCACCAGTATTAAATAATTCAACTAAAAATTCAACTGCTTCGATAGATACGATTACTCTGACACGCCCATGTCCGGAAAGTTATTCTAAATATTGTTACAATAGAGGGAAGTGTTATGCAGCTTGGACGGGCAATGGAAATTACAAACCTTTTTGCCAGTATTTTTTTTTAATTCACTAATTTAAAAATATAGATATTTTCCTGAACTTTAAAAATATGGTAGATAGTTTCCGGAAATTATGTAAGGCTTCCGGAAATAAATCTAATAATTATTTTTCCGGAAGGAATATAAGATATGTATTAGACAAATTTACCAAAAAAATTTTTTACAAAAAATTAATTTTAGCTGTGCAAGAGGCTTTCATGGCTCTCATTGTGAATACCTTTTTAATCCAGACGTTTATGGATTTTGAAAATAAATATTTTTAATTAATAGACCCCTAAATACGACGAGAAAAAATATTTAAGAATATAAATAATTTTTAATATGTTTAAATTAATTAAAAATAAAATATGATAAGGTTACAGAATTCATTTATTTTATTTTTAATTGTATTTTCCGGAAATGCTTAATTTATTTTTTCTGTTCCGGAAAAATTGTCATCAAGATGACAAAAAACTATTTAAAAATAAAGAAAATTTAAAATAAGAATTTAAAAAGATGAATCAGTTATATAAAAATAAAATTAATTAAATTATATATTTCCCTCCTAACGGTAGGAAGGTAAAAAACCTCTAGAGATAATTTTTCACAGAAATTAATTTTTCACCTTTAATTCTCAATTTTTAAAATTATTTAAAAAAACACTTTTAGAATATTCCAGAATTAAAATTTAATTTCAAAAATTTATATTTTTTATTTAATTTTTAATTCAAAAAATGATAAAAAAATATTTTTTATTTTTAATTCCAATTTTTTATTTAACTAAAATTAAAGCTTTACCTCGTCCAGAATTGAATAATATAGATACGATTACTCTGACACGTCCATGTCCGGCAAGTTATTCCAAATATTGTTCTAATAGAGGAAAGTGTTATGCAGCCTGGGTCGGTAATGGAAATTTCAAGCCTTTTTGCGAGTAATTTTTAAAAATTTTTTAATTTAAAATTATTGTAGATGTTTTCCAGAATTATATAAATAATTATTTTCCGGAAATTATTCATGTTTTCCGGAAACGTATAAACAATTATTACTTTCCGGAAGAAATAAAATATTTTCCAAAAATTATCTAAGGCTTCCGGAAATAAATATATATACGTAACTATTTTTCCGGAAGGAATATGACGAATATACTAAAAAATTTTTTAATAAAAGTTAATTTTAGCTGTGTAAAAGGCTTTCATGGCCCTCATTGTGATTATCTTTTTAATCCAGACGCTTATGCATTTTGAGAATATTTTTGATTAATAAAAATGACAAAAAATGAAAAATTATTGAAAAATTCAAAAAATTGATATTTTAAATAAACAATTTTATATTTAAATTAAAGAAAAAATAAAATCCAACAAAATGAAAAACATCGAGAATACAAAGAATATATATCTTAATTATTCGTTTTTGGTCGTTTTAGATTGGCCATTATTCCGGATATTATTTCGATATCTAAGTAAACCACTACCTTTTCCAACAAGGTAATCCAGTTTAATATTTAACCTAGAAAATAAATAAAATGTATTTTCTTTGTCAGGAAACTTTTGTGTTTTATACTGACTGTGTATTTTTCCGGAAACAATTTAATTAATTATGTACGCTTAGATGTATTTTCCGGAAAATATGTATGTATTTATAAGGACTATGTGTTTTTCCGGAAACAATTAAATTATGTGTTTTTTTGTATGTATTTTGTGTTTTCCGGAAATATTCAATTTATATGTATTTTTAGTTAAATGTATTATATCCGGAAAATTTAATAATTTTCTTTTACTTTCCGGAAGCATTATATGTATGTATTTCTGAGTTATATTTTTATGAGGCTCTTCCGGAAAAACACAAATATATGAATAAAAGTCGCAACAAGCTTACCACAAAAATTCAATTAAAAAGTCATATGATTTTTTGTATTTATATGTTCCCGGGTATTTTTCCATTAATATTCTTTTAACTGCTTCAGTAGCTTTAGGTAAATTGTAATGTGGAATACGCGTAAAAAAGAGGTGATGGGCTACATGACCTGAAATTTAAGCAAATTTTTAAATTAATTTTATTCTTCTACCGTCAGTTATGTTATGCATTGCTTTGTCTATTCCAAATCCAAAAGCTTAAAAAATACAGAAAAATACAAAGAATTAAATTTAATATTTATTTACATCTATCAACTGTCTGTAACTGTCCTTTCACAAATCCCCACGTTCCATCTTCATAAACTTCAGTCTGTTCGTCATGGTGTTGTAAATAAGTAATCATAACTAACCAGAAACCTAAAATTTTATTTTATTTGAATTAATGTTTAACCTTTCCGGAAAAATAGAAAAATACAAATTATTGGTGAATTATAATATTTATTTCATTGAAGTATAGACTTTCCGGAAAATTATTATTTATATATTTAAATATAACTTTCCGGAAAATTTTGTATTTTCTTTTAAATATAATTTCCGGAAAAGATTTACATAGAAACACATTCCGGAAACGTATTTTTATAGATAGACTTATTCCGGAAAACAATTCTTCTAAGGAAAAGTTTCCGGAAAATTGTCTTCCTTAAAATATAATTTCCGGAAAGGTTTAATTAAAATGTATTTTCATTAAAACACATTAAAATAGATATGAAACACAAAACTTGGAACATAACCGGAACATAATAATATTTAAAAAATATCCATAAATTATAATTTGAACAATATAAAGCTATCTAAAATAAATTTAAAAAATTTTAAATCAAAATAAAATACATAGGCACATATAAAACAAGCAGCACCACTAACAACACATTTAATTCTATCAGTATTATTTTCAAATAATTTAGACCAAGGCCAAAAATGAGAACCATCGGGAATACCAAATATTGTATATAAAGGAATCCAACTTAAAAAGGAAATGAATTTTAGAGAATTAAATTTTATGTGTTTATTTGAAATATAAACTTTAAGGAAAATTATGGGTTTTTAAGCTATAAAACTTTCCGGAAAAAGTTTATTGTAGCACACTTTCCGGAAAGAATATTAATATCAAATGTGTTTTCTTTAAATTATATATACTTTCCGGAAAAACACAAAAAATGTGTTTTTCATTTAATAATTGTATTTTTAAGTCAATAGTCAAATTAATAGAATTAAACCTTTACCTAACAAACCCAGTCAACGGAAATTTGAGATAATGTTTGGATATCCAATTTAAAGATAAATAAAGCTTTTCAGGTATCCAAGGATGGCTCATATCCTTAAAATCAAAATTTTATTTTTTTTCAAATTTCTTTTACTTTATCCAAGTGTGCAGTGTATTGATGGTGTAGTCTATGGGATTTTTGCCACGGCCAATAAGGGACATAAAAAATAGAATTTTTGAAAAATAAATTTCTTAAAGAACCATAGTAGGAGCATGTGCCACATGCCCAAACAAATCATTCACCCAAGTATAGGAAGAAAACGTTCCGTGTCCACAATCGTGTCCAACAACGAATATAGAGAACAAAAACATACCTAATACCCAATACCTATAAAATTTAGTTTAATTTTAAAATAAGAAGGGAATAAGGAGAAAAATTTTAAAAATTGGGAAAAAATTTTTTTACCAAAGCAAAAGTCCAATAATCCCAAAATTGTCCTCAGCAACCCCAACAACCAAATAAAGTCCATAAATAATTAAAAAATCCAAAATTAAATAAGAAAGTGAACGAATTAGAGACTAAAAATTAAAAATCAGAAAAAATTTAAAAAATAAAAAAACTTTTTCAAAGCACTCTGCTGGGATTGCATTTCGAAGTTCATTTAAATTAGGGAAAGAATTAATTTTGTTGTTAAAATCAGAAATTGTATTTCCATTTGTTTTAGTTGTTTCGATAAGTGTATTAGACATTCAGAATTTTAAATTAAAATAATTCTGATTTTTAAATTAATTCTGGTTTAAAAACACAAACTTTTCTGAAAAAATACAAACTTTAAAAATAAATTCTGATTTATAAAACACAGACTTAAATAAACTTATTCTGAAAAAAACACAAAAATTCTGATTTAAATACAACCAGAATTTTCTTGCAAAACACAAACTTAAACTTAGGTATTCTGATTTATATGTAGAACACAAACTTAAAAAACACAAAAATACAACCAAAATTTTCTTATAAAACACAGCTTAATTCTGAAACAAAAACACAAAATAAAAATTCTGATTTATATATAAAACACAAACTTAAAAATTATTCTGATTTTACAAGTTCTAAAGCAAAATACATTAATTTAAATAAATTAAAAGATGGTGGGAAATAACCTATCAATTTCTTCTTATTAAAAATGGAATATAATTATGCAGTGATAATTTTAATTAAATCGAACGATTTTTAATTAATATATTACACCAAAATTGTTAAACTACATTTTAATGAAAAAAATACAAATTCTGATCTTTGAATTATTCTAAAACGCCAAAAATATTCTGATTTGCAAAAACACTGACGAAACACACTTATTCTACTATAAATTAAAAAATCAGAATTTTCTTGTTTTTCTAATCAGAATTAGAAAAACAAGAAAATTCTGATTTTTAAAATAAATTATTTTAATATTGAAAAGCGATTTTTTAAATGAATAATAAAAATAAAATAACTGACTGAACATTTGCATGAAAAATCCTTAAGAATAAATTTTAGATAAGAAAAACACACTTATATTTAGTTAACTTCCCCTCCATTGCAAATTGAATATTTAATCTTTGATTTTCTAGACAAAGAGGAAGGAAAAAATAAGAATTGTACTATCTAAAGAATTATTTTAAAGTCAGCAGAAAAATCAGACAAGTTTAAAAATAAACGAACCTTGTAGAAAAAAAAATAAAAAAATATTTTTAAATTTTATTTCAGAATGTAAAATTTCAAAAATAAAAAAATTCAATGAGAACAAAATAAAATTAAGTCATGTCTCTTAACTATTTATCCTTTTTATTATTAAGTTGCTCATCATTCTGAACAGTAGAACGATATTTAAGTAAACCACTACCTTTACCAACAAGGCAATCCAATTTAATATTTAACCTTAATTATAAAATGAAACACAATGTATTTTTAGTTAAATTTCCGGAAACGATTAAACACAAACACATCTTTCCGGAAATGCTACGAGTGTTACTGAAAACACAATGTATTTTATCATTACTCTTCCGGAAAAGTAAGTGGTTTCCCTTGAATACAACTTTTCCGGAAAACATGTATTTTAAAAAAATTCAATGAGAACAAAATATATATTTTGTTACGGAAAATATATATTCTATTAGAACGACTAAACACAAACACGTCTTTCCGGAAATGTTACGAGTTTTCCGGAAAACACATGTATTTACTCTTCCGGGAAAAATAATTCCTTTGAATATAACTTTTCCGGAAACTTGTATTTTATTTTAATATTACTGTTCCGGAAAATATTATTTTCTTAGAATAAACTTTTCCGGAAAGATTATATAATTTAAATATAAAATTTACCATAAAAATTTAATTAAAAAGTCATATGCACTTTTATGCTTATATGCGCCAGGGTATTTTTGCAAAACTTTTTTAACAGCTTCCGTAGCTTTAGGTAAATTATAATGAGGAATACGAGTAAAAAAGAAATGATGAGCTACATGGCCTAAAATTTAATTTTAAAATTAATTTCCAAAATTTCTACCATCGGTTATATGATGCAATGCTTTGTCTATTCCAAACCCAAAAGCTTAAAAAATACATACAAAAATCTAATTAAAAATTAATTTAATTATTTATTTACATCTATCAACAGTCTGTAACTGCCCTTTCATAAATGCCCAAGTCCCTTCTTCATAAACTTCAATTTGCTCGTCTTGATGTTGCAAAAAGGTTATTATGACCATCCAAAAACCTAAAAAAATAAAAATATTCAAAGAGAAATACAAAGTTTTCCGGAAAGATTTTATAGAAAAATAAAGTCTTCCGGAAAATTTAAATTAAAAGCAGTTAATTTGTGTGTTTTATTTAAATATAATTTCCGGAAAACATTCTACATAAAAACACATTCCGGAAATGTATTTTTATAGATAAACTTTTTCCGGAAAAGTTATTCTTCTATAGAAATAGTTTCCGGAAAATTGTGTTTTCTCTAAAATACAATTTTCCGGAAAACTTTTAATTAAAATGTATTTTCTTGTATTTTCCTGTATTTTCATTAAAACACATTAAATTAAATATAAAACACACAACTTGGAACATTAACGGCACATAATAATATTTAAAAAAGTTCCACAAATTATAATTCATATAGGAGAGAATAACCTATAAAAATTTAAATTTTAATTATTTTTTAAATTTAAAAAATACAAAAGAGCAAAGAAAACAGGCAGCAACACTAACAACACATTTAATTCTATCAACATTATTTTCAAATAATTTAGACCACGGCCAAAAATGAGAACCATCGGGGAGTCCAGCAATTGTGTATATTGGGTTCCAACTATTTTTTTAATTTTAATTTTTTATTTTAAAAATAGTCTTAGAAAATTCACCGAATAAGTCCAGATAAAGGAATTTTGGCAAAATGTTTTTTAATCCAATTACTGGATTCGTACTCCTCTTCTGTAACCCAAGGGTGTCCTTTATCCTTAAAATTAAAAAAATTTTTTTTTTCGAAAATAAATTTTCTAAAATATTTTTTCCCAAATTAAATTAATTTTTTAATTAAAAAATAGTAGAAAAATTAAGAAAAAAAATTCCAAAAAATATTTCCTACTTTATCCAAATGTGCCGTGTATTGATGGTGTTGTCGATGTGATTTTTGCCAAGGCCAGAATGGAACATAAAATTAATTTTATTTTTTTTCAAATAATAAAAATAAAAACCATAATAACAGCATGAGAAATATGTCCAAACAAATCATTCACCCAAGTATAGGAAGAAAAAGTTCCGTGTCCACAATCGTGTCCAAAACAAAATAAAGAGGATAAATACATTCCGAGAAACCAATACCTGTTAGAAAATTTTTTAAAAATTTTTTTTTTGGGGGGGGGGGTTAAAAATGAATTTTAAATTCATAAATGAAATTTAGTAATGTTTTAAAATAAAAAATTTTTCAAAAGTAAAAATTTTTTCAAAATTTTTCCGAACTTTTCAAAAAAAAATTTTCGAAATTTTTTTTAAAATTTTAGAAAACCAAAAATTTTTGAAATTTTTATGGAATTAAAAAAAATATATTTTTTTTCCTCTCACCAAATTAAAAGTCCAACAAATCCCAAATAATTTTCAACAATTCCAACAACCATATAAAGACCAGAAATAATTACCAAATCCAAAATTAAATAAGAAATTGAACGAATTAAAGGCTAAAAATTAAATTTAAAAATTAAAAAAAAGATAAAATGCCTTGTCAAAACATTCTGGGGGCACTGACATTCGCAGTTCCTCAACGTTTGGTACTTGTCTAAAAACTCCGATATTTGAAGACGCAGATTTATCATTGCTACCATAAAATTCAGATTTGCTGTCATCATTGAAAAGACGATAAGAACTGCTCCCATCGTCATTAATATTGCCGGGATTGTATCCACCATTGTTTATTAAACTATTTTTGGTTGTGTCAACACAAGACATTCAAAAATTGAAGGATTTAGATAAAGCTAAAAATTAAGAAAAAAATTTTTTGCTGAAAATTAAACGAGAATATTCTCTAAAAGTATTTTTTTATTATTAAAATCAGAAGATTAAATCAGAAGATTAATTAATTAACCTATCCCTGATCAATACTAGGGTTGTCCCCCGTCCCAGCCCCGAAATCGGAGAATTTGAGAGATTTTTTTAAAACCCAGTGAAAAAAATAAAAAATTCCACCGTGGTCCTGCCTACCTGAAAGTTGTTCCCCGTCCCCTCCCCCCGTCGGGGCTCTCCCCCTGGTCAAGGTATCACGACTTTTGCGCCGAGAACATTTGCGCCGCGACTTTTGCGCCGCGACTTATGCGCCGGGCGACTTTTGCGCCGCGACTTATGCGCCGCGAATTATGCGCCGAGCGACTTTTGCGCCGCGACTTTTGCGCCGGGGGACTTTTGCGCCGCGACTTTTGCGCCGCCATTATTTTAAAAAAAATAAAATAATATCTACAGTCGGACCTGATTATAGTGTGCCCCTTGGGTTTAAAAATGGTACCCAGGAGCTGAAGGAATTTCAGGAAGGTTTTGAGCCATAAAAGTGAAAATAAGGAGAAAGCGGAGATATCTATATGTAGATTACCGTATTTCTAATAGTGTGAATCTCAATTAGACGACCCCTCTAAGAAACCGACCTTTAGAGGATGGTTGAAAAATAAATCGACTCTCTATTAACCGACATCTTTCTAAGAACCTGACTTTTTCGGATCAGGATATTTGGATCTGCTAAACCTATTCAGGCATGATTTTCTGCTCCAAGAGTGTGCACTATTATGTAGGGTTATCTTCAGATCTATAATAAGGCCGGATATCCGAAAATTTCCGGTTCGGATATTGGATTAGATACGGATATGCGAAGATTTCGAACTATCCTACAACTACTATAGTGAAATCTTGCTGTAGTTTTTCATATATTTTTAATGATAGTGGCGGCGCAAAAGTCGCTCGGCGCATAAGTCGCGGCGCAAAAGTCGCCCGGCGCAAAAGTCGCGGCGCAAAAGTCGCCCGGCGCAAAAGTCGCGGCGCAAAAGTCCCCCGGCGCAAAAGTCGCGGCGCAAAAGTCGCCCGGCGCAAAAGTCGCGGCGCAAAAGTCCCCCGGCGCAAAAGTCGCTCGGCGCACAAGTCGCGGCGCATAAGTCGCGGCGCAAAAGTCGCGGCGCAAATGTTCTCGGCGCAAAAGTCACGGAACCCTGGTCAATACCCTATAACGCCCTGGTTAATACTTCAATAACAGATAACAAGACGGGCGCAGTCCCGTACTTAAAAATCTCTTTGAAGAATACTTTCCCCTAAGCCTTCCCTGAATTAAAAGGGACGAATCTATTTTGAAAAAATTTGATAAAAGTAAAAAAAATTAACGATCATTAACGACGCCCACCCCCTCTTCCCATGCAAAATAATTTCAATTAAAAGATAATTGTCTAATAAAAATTATTATTACATACCTACTTCCCCTTCTCCTTTCTTTTCTTCTCCTCTAAAAATGCAAGCAATAAATTTATAAAATCGAACGATTTAATTAATGATCAGACGATGCACTAAAAAAAGGTTAAAAAAATAAATTAATAAATTTTATGAAAAAAAAATCAAAAAATAATAATAGACATAACAACTTCATTTAAAAAATAATAAAAAAAATAATTTTATTTTTATTAAAAAATATTTAAAAAATTTTTTTTAAATTAAACAAATTTTGGCAAAAATAATAAATTAAAAAATAAATATCCTATAACGGGATTTAACAATTTAAAATAAAATATATCAATAAAATAACAATGACTGCAAACATTAAAAATTAAAAAAAAATTTCCTCGTCGTTGAAAGAAACAAGAACAATCCCTCAAATTGTCTATTATTAATTTAATAAAACTTGCGACGCTTAGAGAACGGGCCAAGATTTGCACGGCTGAAAATACAAATATAAATTCTGATTTTTAAAAAGTAAAAATACAAAAACACATTAATTCTGATTTGCAAAATACAAAATTTTTAAAATCAGAATTTTAAGAGAAAACACAAATTTAAAAAATTCTGATTTTTAAAATCAGAATTTTAAAATCTGATTTTTAAAAAGTATTCTGAATTTAAAGAATATTCTGGTTTTTAATAAATTCTGATTTTAAAAGAATTCTGATTTTTTAAATTCTGATTAAATATTCTGGTTTTTAGAAATTCTGATTTTAAAAAATTCTGATTTTTTTAGATTCTGGTTTTTCTTTAAATTCTGGTTTTAATTCTGGTTTAAAGAAAATAAAATTTCTGATTAAAAACACACATTTATTAAATACCAGAAAATACGTCACCTTAAAATAATTCTGATTTGTAATAAAACATATTTTCTGATTTTTAAAAATTAATCAGATCTGCAAAAACACAAAATAATTTTATTTATTTTTACCGTTTATTCCTCTGAATTCTCTCATCATATGAAATAAGTATTTGATTAAAAATTTGTCGAGTGTTGTCATCAGCTAATGGGAACAGAAACAATTCTCCATTAAAATTAATTTTGAAACAAACACGTCCTTTCATATAGTCAGACTTGAGAAATTCATAAAGAGAAAAATAACCAAAAGAACGAGCACGTTCTGAAGGATTGAAGCCGTAGAAGAAACTTTAAAAAAGAAAATTCTGATTTTTGAAAAAAATTCTGATTAAAAAATCAGAATTAAAAAAATCAGAATTAATTCAGACTCTTCACTGTTCTGATTTTTAAAAGTTCTGATTTTTAAAAATTCTGATTTTTAAAAATTCTGATTTTAAATAAATTCTGATTTTTAAAAATTCTGATTTAAATAAATTCTGATTTTAAAACAAATTTTCTGAAACAAAAACACAAAAAATGTTTGTATTTTTTAAATTAAATTCTGAAATTTAATTAAAGTTTATTTTATTTATCAGAATTTTCTTTTCCTAAAATCAGAATTTTGTGTTTTCTTTATTATAAACTTAAATTTTATAAAATAAAAATTTTTTAAATAAAATTAAAATACCGAAAATCATCAATGAATGCGCTCAACGAAGAAAATCCTTCTGGAGTAGACTAAATTGAAAAAAATAAAATTACAAAAATTTTAAACACTTTTAAAGGTCAATTTTAGGGCGCGGGGCCGTTTTGGCGCGAGATTATAAGATAGCGAGTTGGTTATCAAAAATGATAAAATTTTGCAATAATAACTCTTGAACCTTTATCTACTTTCTCCAAAAATTTCAGAATCTTTGAGCAAGAATTTTAGAAATTATGATCAAAAATGTTGATTTTCTGAAAAATGCCTAATTTTTCAAGGCCTATCGACTATAACTTCAGAAATATTTGATGAAAAATTCTGAAATTTTTGGACGAGGTAGCCAAGGATGTTAATGAAATTTGAGAAAATTTTTATGAAGTTAGGTCTCGCCTAAGTGCCACTTTTTTGTTCTCGCGGCAAAGCGGCCCGGCGCCAAAACGACCTCAACCCCAATTTTAGTGCCTCAAAAAATTAAATTGACACTTAAGCCCACCCAAAAAAATTTATTTAAAATTTAAGAAAAAATTCCCCAAAAATTAAAAAAACTAACCAAAAGAGTTTGCGATATTTGATCTCTAAATTTACTCAATTTACTTGTCAATAACTTCAATGGATCAATATCAAAATTGCTGCTATTTAATGATGTATTTGATCCATTAGAAATTGTACTACTCGAAGAAAGATTAAAAGAAGAATTTTTTGAAAATGTTGAAGACATTCCAAAAATAAATAATTATTTTAACTAAAAAAGCATCTATAAAAACCCTTGAAAAATTTAAAAAATTAACTAAAAATTATTTTAAAAAATATTTAAATGATTATTAATTAAATAATTAAAAAAAAAATTCAGCAACAAATTTTTATTTATTTTTTTCTATCCAACAATAATTTATTATTTGCTATAAGAGAAATGTAACATTTAGAAAGAATAAAATTTAAAGGCAGAAAATATATAAGGCATAAATAAAAAAAATATTTCTTTTAAATTAAGAAAGTGAAACTTATGTAAGTAAAGGATAAATGTAAGAAGAATTTAGAATTAAAAAAACTTAAATAAATAAAAATATTTTCGTAAAAATCTAATAAATAAATTTATAAATATTTTAAGATACATATTGTCCCAAAAAAAACTTATTTCCCTAACTAGGGTTGGGGCCCGATCCAACCGAAAAATAGAGTCGAGCATCGAATTTTGGCCCGCAAAAATGATTCAAAAAATGCGACCGGACAAGAAAACCCCAACCCTATTCTTAACTAATAAAAATAAAGTCAGACCTCTATTTTATATATTGGGCATTCACAAGGCAAGGGCGTAGCCAAGGGGGGGGGGCTTCTGGGGCTAAAGCCCCCCCCCCCCCCCCCGAAATGGGAGAAAGGGGAGAAAATTTAGGAGAAGAATTAGCAAAAAAGTGAATTTTTTTGGCCTACGGCCTTCATAATTTTAAAAATTTTCGCCTGCGGCGCTAAAATGGAAGAAATCAGGCTTCTGAGCTCCAAAATTCAAAAAATTTTCGCCTGCGGCGCTGAAAATCACAATTTTTGGCGCCTGCGGCGCCGAAAAAGTGAATTTTTTGGCCTACGGCCTTCTAAAATTAAAAAAATTTTCGCCTGCGGCGCTGAAAAAAATAAAAATATGGTTCAAAAAAATTTGCGTTCAGAACGCCAAGGTAAACGCCAAAAATTTTGCGCACACCCAGTGTTAGCCCCCCCCCCCCCCCCCCCGAAATCGACCCTCTGGCTACGCCCTTGTCACAAGGGAACCTTTCGAACTATAAGCCAGAATGTTGTACTTTTTTCGATACCAATCGATAGAGCATCATCGATTTACTCTAGAAAATTATCGGCTTTTTTGGCTAGGAATAAGAAACTAAAAAGTTATGTGGCTTCAAAGTTTGCCAAAAAATGTCAGACAGGTTCTGAGGTTTGTAAATTAAAAAAAAAATTTTTTTTGGTTGATTACTGGATGGGATAAATTGACCTTAATTTTACCTTTTTTAACCCCAAGAATGCAAGGTCTGACTTTATTAACAAATAATACAAAAAAATTTTTAAGGTATCCAGGTTTAGAAAATCCTTTTCAAAATAAAAATAACCGTTTTTTCGAAAATTTTATTTCTCCTTCTTTTTATGTTGCTTCTTCTTTACAATTTTAATTTTATCCAATTTAACAGCCATCATCCAACCGATTACAGGGCATAACCAGTAAGTTATCTTTTAAATTAAAAAAAATTTTTTAAATTATTTAAATAAATTTGCGGACACATTTTGCGGACAAAATTGTAAAATCAAATTTATCCGCAAGATTTGTCCGCAAAAATTATAGGACATAAAAATACCATAAACCATTGAAGATCCAATCCAGGACAACCCATTAGACGAGAAGAAGCCACAACAGGATTCAAACCAGGAATGCCAATATAAACGAGTGCTTTAAATTTATTTAAAAAAATTTTTCAAAAAATTAAAAAACAAACAAAAAGTTAAAAATCCAGAAATAATAAATGGAATAAGTCGAGTTTTTACAAAAAGAGGCATTCTTTGAATAGAAAAGCGAAGTAAAAAAGCACATAATAACTCGTTAATAAATACATAATTGAATGGAACCTGAAAAATGAAAAAAATCTTTTAATTGGGAAAATGCTTGACACAAATATTGAGTCAAAGAAAATAAAATAGACAAGTTTAAAAAATTTTTTTGAAGTTCAAACTTTGGTTACCCGCACAAAAAAATATTTAAAGAGCTTCCCAAACTCACAATCAGAGCAGAATTTAAAAACTAGATTAACGTCAAAGGGGATTAAAAAATTCATTTGGCTAGGAACAAGGTATTCCTAAGGCTCCCTAAACCAAGAGGGAAGCATTAAAAGGAAAAATAAAAAAAGATCAAAGTCCTAGGGGGACAGTCTATAACGAACATCCTAAAGACCCTAAAAATTCCCCCAAAACTCAAGGGATTCTTGCCTCCAAATTCCAAGGGAGACAAGTTATAATTGAACATCCAAGAGACCTTAAAAATTCCCCCAAAAACAAAAAAAATATTTTTACTTTGTAATTAATTGCACAAGGAAGTCTTTCAAACAGTTGAAGATGATCTATTGAATAAGACAAAGAATAATACCAGAGGGAGTTAGCCAAACGAAAAGCCGAATATCCACCGACGCTTTGAGCAAATATTAGAGCCAAAAACTTTTCTGAACTGAAAAAATAAATTTTTAAAAATTAAAAAAATTTTATTAAAACCTCATCCTTCCAGTAAAGAATTGTTCAATAACAGGAAGTGGAGTAACATAGGCCCCTCGATTGAGCAAATTTCCAGAAAGCAAAAGCATTGAGACTGCGAAGAAGAAGCCGATTGGGCCATAATGTTTTACTATTACCGCTAAATAAAAGAAATTTTTGGGGTAGGTAAAAATAAACTGAAAAATTAAAAAAAAATTTGCGGACAATTTTGACTTTGCGGACTTTCCGTATTTTAATTTTTTGATAAGCAAATTGCTTTATGATGGGATTACTTGTTTTATTAACAAATAAAAACACTTTAAACTCTTCAAATTTAGCCTATACCTAATCTAAATAGAATCTAAAACATTTAGGTCATCTTGTCCGCAAATTTAAAAATAAAAAAATAAAATTTGCGGACAAACTACAGATTTGCGGACAATCCGCATTTTAATCTTTTGATAAGCAAATTGCTCAGGGCGGGATTATTAACAAGTAAAACGCTTTAAATCCTTCCACTTAGCCTATATATCAACATAGATAAATTAAAAAACCTTTAGGTTATCGTGTCCGCAAGTGAAAAAAGTTTGTCCGCAAATTTAAAATCAGCTTAAAAAACCTCAATCCTTACTATTTTCATACACACAAGTACACATTTGGGCAGTGCCAATCAATTCAATAAGCAACACATAAATTAGAGAAGACTTTTTAAAAATAAGCCCAACAATTTTTCTTGTAATTTCCGCAAAAAAGAAAACGAAGGCATAATAGGCAATTGCAATTATTGCGGGGAGAAGAGTTTCCACGTTGAAATTTGTAGCAACCATTTTTAGAATAAATTTGTTTTGACAATTAAATTCTTGAATAGAAACAAATTTTAAATCATAATCACCCGTTTTCTGCTGATAAAAATAAATTAAAAATATTAATCGAAAAATCTGACACACATTTTGCCAATAAGGCTAAAATAAGAACAAAAATACACATTTTGCCAATAAGCGCAAAATACACATTTTGCCAATAAGGGCAAAAAACACATCTCGCCAAATACATATTTTGCCAATGAGGGTAAAATCCTTAATTATGTCACCAAAATTTCTATTTATGTATTGTTTTTGCGAGTTTGGTTTGGATTTCTGTAGTTTTTCAACCAATTTTTCTAATTAGGTAGTTGAATGAGTACTTACTCAGGCAGAGATATTGCAACATTTTTTGGAGCGAGAAGCGGGACCACGGGGACTCAATTGAGGTATATACAATGGACTCAATCGTGAGGACTCAATCGTGCGGACTCAATCGTGGGGACTCAATCGTGCGGACTCAGTTGAACTGCTCCGTGTCCTGGCATTTGTTGAAGTAATAAAAATTTACGTAAATTCTCTAATAGAAGCACATCCTCCAATACAAGCACGCCCTCTAATATAAGCACGCCCTCCGAGAGGATTGAACGTGTCCGGACAAAATATCGAATCGTTAAAATATGGAATAGGCTAAAAAAGGGTTAAAATCTCGAATCGGGTAAAAATGGGTTAAAATCGCGAATAGGCTATAAAGGGGTTAAAATGTGGAATCGTTAAAATATGGAATGGTTAAAATCGCGAATAGGCTAAAAAGAGGTTAAAATACCGAATCGTTAAAATATCGAATTGATAAAATGTCGACACGGCCAAAATGGGTCAAAATGTCGAATTTTTTTAGAAATGGCGCCAAAACCTAAAATCCGGGCGTTACCGTAATACCGACGGTATTTTTCGGTATTCCGTGTCGGTAATACGATACGGAATGCCGACCGATAAAATTTAAAAGCTGATCGGTATTTTTCGGTATTCCGTACCGTATACGGTAAGGTACAAAATTTAGGTCTTAATTAAAAACAAGTGACGCCACTCTAATTTTTCCGTATCAGGATCCTGTTGTGTTTTCCGGATCCGTACGATCATGCCGGACCGGATCCGGTCGATTATGCTTGATTTATACGGTCCGATTTTACTCGGTAAAATACAGTGAACTCAGGCAGAAAAGATTACGCCGGACTATGACATACGAGACTTATCAATCAAATTATCAAAAATAAGTTGATAAATTTATCAACAATCAATGTATGGCACTCATCTGACCCTTTTTTAAAAGAATTCGACATTTTGACCCATTTTGGCCGTGTCGACATTTTAACCATTCCATATTTTAACGATTCCATATTTTAACCCTTTTTTACCCGATTCGATATTTTAACGATTCCATATCTTAACGATTCGGTATTTTAACCCCTTTTTAGCCTATTCGCGATTTTAACCATTCCATATTTTAACGATTCCATATTTTGTACCGGAGCCGGATTGAAAAATAGAAGCACATGTGTTTCAATTAGAGTATTTCCATGTAGTATAAAAGCAATAGATACCTTATATCACTAACAACAACACACACAATAAACTTCACAAGTCAATGGCACAGTCTGCATACTTAGGTGGAGGTGGTACAGCTGGTGGAGGAGGTGGTGATGCTTCTGTCTATATGGGGTCTGGAGCCGGCGGTTCACCGAAGCAACCGGCAGCTGGAGGTGGCGGTTATGGAGCTGCTGGTGGAGGCGGTGCGTCAGTCTATCTTGGTAGTCCTGTTGGTGGAGGCGGAGGAGCCGGTCAACAAAGTGCATATATTGGTGGACCTGCTTTGGGAGGAGGTGAATAATTATTGATCCTAATATGCTAATAACTGATAATTTTATTTAAGCTTCGGCTGCTGCTGGTAGGCCTGCATGTGGCGCAAGTGCTTTCGAAGGTGGCAGTGGCTTGTTTGTTATTTCTTGTGGTGGTGGTGGTATGCAGTCGATTCTTGGTACTTCTCCTTCTGGCGGTGGTACACAAACTGCTCTTGGTGGTCCTTCTCGTGGCGTTGGTACGCAGAGTCCTTTTGGTGCTCTTCCTACTTGTGGCTTCACGATTCTTGGTGGTCCTTCTTCTGGCGGTGGTACGCAGAGTCCTTTTCCTTCTTGTGGCTTTATGCCTCTTGGCGCTCCTTCTTCTGGCGGTGGTACACAAACTGCTCTTGGTGGTCCTTCTCGTGGCGTTGGTACGCAAAGTCCTTTTCCT